AAATTCGGTACATAATATTTTCTTAACACCGTGATGACATGTACCAAATATGGATGAAATCGGTTCACAACCACGCCTGAAATCTCGATTATCACTTTATCATGCGAGAGTATAAAATGTTCGGTGACACCCGAACTTAGCCCTTCCTTACTTGCTTTTCTTTGATTTTATTTCAAAAAAAGAGAGATATATGATATACTGGTTATCTTCATATTTGGCGAACTTCAGCGAACTCAAACCAAGTAGAAGTTGAAGAACATCTCCGGATAGAAATGACATCTTTCTGTGTTCCTTTATATAAGATATAGAAAAAATAATAATTTCGATAGTTCATTTGGGCCTAAGAAAAGTGGAAGCACGATTGGTTCCAAAATCACCAAATTATTTCGAAAATTTGCGCTGCGTACTTTAGTTTATTTAATAATTTGTTTATTATGTAAGCTTTAATAAAATAAAAATAAAATATTTCGAAAAACAGCGTCGCTTTAACGTCTGTGAAATACTGCTTTCCGAACAGCAGAACGTCACGAAACTTATTATTACTGGCGATGAGTCTTGAATCTATGCCTACGATCCGGAAACATACGATCAACCGGCCGATCAAAACAGATGAAAAATCAATGTTATGTTGACAGTTTCTTCGATTATCGAGGTGTGATGCACTCCGAATTCCTACCAACCGACCAAACTGTTCACAAGTAATACTATTTGAGTGTAACGCGTCGTTTGCACGAGGTTATTCGTAAAAAGAGGTCGGGATTATGTGCCGACAATACTTGATTTTTGCACCACGATAATACACCGTCGCGAATTTCATTGATTCTTCGTGAGTTTTTCACAAAGTTTCACACCAAGACCTTGCTGAACCACCGTATTGCCCTGATTCAGCTCCGTTTGACTTCTGACTATACATGGAACTCAAACGACCGATACGGGGAAACCGTTGAAGACATTAAACGTGAATCGCTGCGCGCATTGAGCGCTATTCCGGGAATTGACTTTAACAACTGTTTCGAGGATTGAAAAAAAAGTTGCTATAAGTGGATTTGGCTAATGGGGAATTACTTTAAAGGGATATAGACTTAGAAGAATACATTAGGAAATTTAAAATTACTCATACTAGCATATACGCTGCATTTCGTTGCCACGCAAAGTTTAGCTTCACTTTTTCGTCAACTCTATTGTGTCTTTTCAAACTCTTATTCAACACACAGAATCCGACGACTCTCCGGGCGTCTATTTACGTGATGACTTCCTTGGCGGACCCACCGAACTGCGTGCGCCCACCGCCGAACGTGCCGCATTGTTCCTAGATGCCGCACTCGCCGGACGACCACAAGGCGGTCTGGAGCCGGCCATGATATTCACACTGCACGTCTACCAGTACAGCTTGTCGCGCAAAGGCGGCGGTAAGTACCTGCATCACTTCTTTGTACTCAATATACTAGTAGCAGTCGCCGCAGCGGCTGCAAAATAATTGGAATTCCAATAATGCAACGCTGAGCACTCTAGACTTTTCGTGCTAAAATTTTAATGCACTTATTTTCATTCGAATTCACACCATTCCCCCGCACAGTGGCCGGTGGACGCAGTCGTTTGCATCTCATCGATTTGGGTGGTTGTGCCAACCGCAATGGGGGACTGCCGCTCTCCGGCATCGGCAACATACTGCTGGCGATATTGAGCGGACAACGACATCCGCCGAATAAGGACCATCCATTGACGCCGCTGTTGAAAGATTGTCTGGCGCCGTTGACGTGTCATGTCGCCATAATGGCGCACGTGATGCACACACAGGTGAGTGCGTGTTGCAAGGTGTATGCTTGATGTCGAAATTGTAGTGGTCGGAGTGTGTAATAACGGGTTCACTGTTGTTGTGCGTAATTGGTATGCTCTTAAGCGGTGTTTTCGAGTGTACCAACTCCAACGGATCCAGCCGTTGTTGCACTGAGCTGCTTAATTGCACAACAATTTCATAATGAAAGTGCCGACTGCGCGACATACATATGTACGTCGGCTAACTGACTGACTGAGTGGTTGGTCAATTTATTGCTCATTCATAAAATCACACTCGTCGCACGAGCTCGATGCGACCATTCATTTGCGTCACAATGAGAATGATAAATGACTTTCAATTTGCATGACTTCCTCCACTAATGTTGTTGTTTTTTCGTTTTTGGTTTTTGTTGTGTTGCTCTTTTCTTCCTCACAGTCACATACGGATGCATTGACAACGATACAATTGGCCTCACGCATACATCGCATGCGTCGACGTAAGCACCGTTTTCCAATGCCAAGTGACAAGACGGGTGTGGGAGGCTTGGCGGCCGGCGTTAATGGAGGTAAGTCGTTGCGAGTAGCGTTGAATTCAATTAGTGGGTTGAGTAATCGCTTAGAGGGGGTATTTAAAAGTAGACAGGTTTTGGGTGGGTAAAAATTTGGTCTCGTTTCGAATACATAGCGAAGGCAGATGTGATTCCATATTTTGAAAATATAAATTTTTTTTTTTGGAAATCGTTGCCGGAGTGAACCAATTTCACCGTGGCAACGGAAACGGTCGAAGGTGGAATCTTCCTAATTTCTTCCGATGATTAAAGCGAAAATTAATTAGTAGCGGGAATGAAAGCTTGACAGAGACACCCTTCTCACTTTGGTAACGGATTCAACAGAAGCTCCTTCCAAAATGCAACAAAAAACCGGCATTCGCGTGAGCTCCAAAAAGTACATTTTACAAGTAGTCGTGTCTATCGCAAACTAACATATTGTGGAAATATAAGACCGAATTTTTGTTTTAAGAACTTCTTTCCTTCCCTCTTCGTCTACTTTTGAGCACCGCATTTCTTAACCAATACACAAATTATCATTTCCTAGGTCATCAATCGACCGGCTCGTCGGCTGGCTCTGGCGCAGACCCTTCCAGCTCCGAATTATCCGCCGATACAGTAATCTACATGGGACCCAGCGACGATGCGACGGATGGTGAACATCCGCCGGTTTATTTGCCCTCGCTCAGCAGTGGCGACAATCGTTGTGTGATGAGCAAAGCGCTAAAAGGTAGCGGCTTGGAGAAACAACAGCAGTCGCCGGCGAAAAGTGCAGCGGGTACATTGAAGAAGACAGCGGCACAAAAAGGTAATTGAGGGTGATATATTGGCGCAACTATTACTCTACATTCGATCATTTTATTGCAAGAGTAATGTTTAAACACTTTCGGTAACGACTTTCCCTACGCTTAACTCTTTCTTTGTAGTCCCACAAAGTCCCACCATCAATGCGTCCAGTCGTAATGGCAGTCTGAAGCGCGGCCACGTCAACAGTCCCACACCAGCGCAGCAGCAACCACAACAGGCGCCTCAAGTGAGCACTGTGAACGCTGACCAACAGCAACAGCAGCAGTTCTTTTCACCCGTGCACAGCACGAAATCGCTTACGCATTCAGCCTCCTCGCCAAAAATAGTTGCGGGCAGTTTACGACATCCCGGCATGGCTGGTATGATGTGCTCGAAGGGTTCGAACGTGCCATCGCCCAAAGGTTCGCCGCTACGTCGACCCGGTGTGGGTGGTGGCGCCAGTGTTACTGCCGCCGCCGCTGATGCGCTAGACTGTCCCGGCAGTCCGATGCGCAAAATAAGCGAGGAACAATGGATTGATGGGCCGCGTGTATCGCGCGCAAAAGTGGCTGAAGCGCGTCACTTGATGCGTGAAGTGAATCATGTGAAACAATGTGAGACCTGGATCGATGGTCCTAAGTCACAGTCTGCACGTTCACTAACCGCCGGCAATCTGCCAACGGCGCCGTCACAAGTGCAAGGCTACGGCTTTATGGATTCGCACAAGAAGTCTATGATACGACAATGGGTGGAGAATCAGACATCGCAGGTCTTCCAAAGCACATCGGCGGCCTCATCGCCTACACATGGTGCTGGCAATGCGGCTCATCGCGACCAGCAGGCACAGCATCTGCGCAACATTACATACCACATGTCACAGCTGAAGCAGAAATCGCTCGATGCACCGGAGGATTTGTACGCGACGAGCACAAGACAATTGCAACACCAACAGCACAGCATACAGCAACCGCAATTGCAGCAACAACATTCACTACCGCTGGAACAACAGTTTCTGTTGTGCGCCAGTGAGGCAGAGTTGGCACAAGCCATTGCCATGGGTCTTTCCACAGCTGTGAGCACAACGAATGCCTCAGCGCCTGCGGAGATACGCGGTTCGAAGGCTCTGTACCATCAACGACAGTCCAGCGCCACCGGCTCGCTCGGACTTACGCAGACAACAGTAAAAGATGAGACTGATATACATTCGACGCACTCGCACACCGGTTATGGCACCATTTCACAGCAAATATACGCTCAAGGCAGCGCTGCGGCATCGGAGCATGGCGTTGTTGTGGGTGGTCAACAAAGCGATCGGCAAGCGGATTGTGATGAGGACCAAGACAGTGGTCCGTCGGAGGTGCCACCCGCCCTACCGCTCATCGAGCCATTAGGTTCGCGTGAAATTTCACATGAAAGTCTACATCGCATACTGTCGCGACATGTGTCACGCGAATCGCTCTACCAACAGCAACAACAACGCGAGCAGCAACAGGAATTACGTCGCCACGAGGAGTTGCAACAAAATGCGCCCTCAAGGCAATCTTCGCATCATTTCTCGCAACACAGCATGGGCATGTCCGATTGTGGACTGCAAGTGACAGAGGAGGAGATAGCGCGCACAATGGGCGGGTGAGTTGTGGCAGTCGATATTAGTGGCCGAACAAAAGCTCTTGTTTAACATTAAAACTAACTGTTTCCTTATTTTCTTCTATTTTTCTACTCTTTATAGCGAGCATCCACTAGCCGCACTCAGTCACGTTGACAATATGTCCATTGTGTCGAGCTTCAACATGGCCGGCGATGCGTTCAGTGATTGCGCGATGGGTGAAAGAACGAGGTAAGCTGAGTGTTGGTGTTTCGTCCCTAAAAATGTCTTGTTTTCTTAAAAAATTACTTCTCTTGTCTAACAATATTTAATACGTATTTTATTTTTTCTCGCTTTAGGAACCAATTCGATCAATTAGCGCGTTTACGTGAGATCTTCACCTCACAGCTGGCCATGGCCGAAGTAACGCCAGTCTTCCGCAGCTGCGATGTGGGCAGCGTGTACAGTGAGCCTGCGTATCGCTTCAACACGGGACCGGGTAGTGTGTGTAGTGAACCACCATATAGACCACCGAGTCCCAGGTGAGTGTACAAGGTTTTCTTCCATAGCTAGCTAATTTGTCTCGGTAGTAGAATTTAGCTTCAAAATATCAAGACAAATACTAATTTTTAAAAGAGAGTGCAAAAGACTTTCCGACTTAGAAAAGCATAGGATAGGATTAACAAGCGACGGTGTTTTAATTTTGGTAGCCCATCGAAAACTGATTGGAAGCCAATATCGAGTACTGGAGGTTGTTGTATTTGTTGTTACAGCTGGAGAAAACAACTGACGTATTTTCGAAGCATGGGTTCGAGCTCACGGTCCTTGACAATATAAAATTCCTATTCCGATCCGGTGACTTAGCCTCGACTGTCGTGGGAACGGTCTTTTTATTAAAGAGTATTTTAAATCATAGCATGTGCCTTAATAACTAAACTTCTACTTTGAAAGTCTACTTTGTGAGGGCCTCTTTTAAGTTTCCCAAACTCTTCAGCTAAGGCCTGATTAATGCTTTTTCTTGAATACAACTGGAAAGCTTTTTAGATCTAGTTCATGCTTTGACTTGAGATCTTTCCGGATGTAACTAACTGACTAGATGTTTAGGTCTTGAAATATTTAGAATTAATTTGCCCTGTATATATCAATAAGCATTAACCTTCATATATCACTTTCGATATCTTCGCACTTTCAGACAACCTTCGCGCAGTCCCAGCCAAGGCAGTTTGCCCAGCCTGAATGGCATAATGCAAATCGCCGGCATGGAACAATATGCTTCGCTGCGTCATCCCGACGGTGCTTCCGATCCAAATTTGCCAAAAGTTGAGAAACCTTTCGTACTGGAACATGAAGACATCTGCGAAGTTGACGAAAAATCCGCATTGCTATCACCCTCCAAGCGACCTTCACTGGAAAAAGAGCATCTACCCGGTGTTGGTGGCGCCACAGTGCCCACGTCTTCACAAACTCAACTACCATTGCTGCCATTGAATACCTCTTGCGAGGCTTACGACAGTGGACATGACTCGTCCACACCACGCACCTCCAAGCATTCAGGCATTTCGCGACGCGCCGAAAGCGGCTACCATAGCGTGGCGACGGCGCGGGATAGTGATGAGAGCAGCTTTACGTCGGGACTCTCCAAAGAACATCACAATCGCATAACAATGGTGAAGAAGAAGCGTCAGGATAAGGGCCTCTGCAATTGGCTGATGAATCCCTTCACCTGCACTTATCCAGAGACTGAAGGCGAGATAAGCGACTTTTGAAGAGCGCAGTAAACGGCAGCGAAAGCAAGCGCGTGCCAGGGAGAGGAACTCGAATTTATAACGAAGGTAAATAGAAAACAGTTATTGCGGTAGCGAGTAGATGTGATTAAGAGAAGAATTAGTAAATAGTAAGTGCGGCAAACCCACCAAGAAATTTTTGCGCGCCGTTAGAAACAATAACACGAAAGCATGCCAAATTTTTACTTTAATATAATAATATATTAGTGTTTATTTCTTTTTCAAAATAACTAAAGCCAATGTTTTTATGTGGCAGTTGAAACGGCGACTGATTGTTTTTTAATGGAAATTTTTATTGAACATATGGAAAAAGAAGATTTTTAGCTTCAAAATATTTAGTAAAGGAAGAAAAAAAACTAAAAACTTTGCAGAACTCATACGTGAAGTGAAAGCTTAAGTTTCATACATATAAGATAAATGTAATACAATTATAATATGACGTGTTTTACAGTGAAAGCTTTTAAACTATATACGAAAGCTTGAATAACAGAGAATAATGAATGTTTTTACGATATGCGTTGAAAGCTTTTTATGGTTTATGTCATAACTTTTTCAATCTGAAATTGTAACTTATAATTTTTTTCAAAAAATGAAAGGTTTTACGAAAAAGTTAAAAGTCTTGCGAAAACATGAAAGCTTACAAGCCTGTAATGAAAGCTTTTCGGAATAAGTTTGAGTTGAAAGCTTACTTTAATTGGACATTAAATGCAATATCATATTATAACAGTTGCTTATTCATAAATTTCGAAATTATCCGCGTCATCCAAAAAGCTTTCGTATATAAAATAAATTTTACTATAAAAGGTTGCTTCTAATATTTTTATTTAATATAAAAACTTTTTAGAGACACCTTAAATCTAAATGCACTTTAACTAAATGGCTTTTATACGTAAGTTGCCAGAGTCATATTTTCTGTGAAAGCTTTTATGTTTGAAAAATTACATCGAACTTTGAAAGTTTCCACTCTCTGCATTTAAAGCTACTTTATTTTATTGCATATCACATTTAAATTTATCTTTAAAAGCTTTCAAAGCTACCCAGAGTTGAAAGCTTTTTGTGTTTTATGATTTCATCGAACATCGTAAGTTTCTACTCGCTCCATTTAAAACTATTTTAATTTGCTGTATATAAAATTTTAATTTTTTTTATAAAGCTTTCACAGCCACACAGCGTTGAAAGCTTTCATTTTTCTCTTATTTTTAACTAATTTTGAATGAAAGCATATACGTAAGTTACTGTAAACTCAAATAGTTTCGCTTAAAATATTATTTTAATTTCAAATCTTAAGCATTTCGGCCTAAAAGCTTATTTGAAGTGAAAGCTTTCAGCATTACAAAATATTCCTTACATCACGAAAGCTTTTCAAAAACACTGTCAACTTTAAATTCCGTTAAAATGTTAAAAATGTTGTACAGCTAACACATACATTACTCGTCTGCTTCTAAAGCTCTTGCCTAACTGTCGCGCTACTGTAAAAATATAGATTTAGTGAAATATATAATTCTCAACCGTTGCATTTACGTTTGCTGCCTAACCTCAACACTTTGTGCATTCATTTAAGAAAAATAGCGATTTTTATAAAAAGAGCTTTTTGCGAGCTTTTATTATTTTATTAGTTTTTATTGCGCGTAAGCGATTGTTAAATGTAACAATTGCATTAGCAAAAATATTATTTTAACTAGTGTCTAGTTAACTTTGCTAAGTCCTCAACAACAACAACAACAAACCAGTAAATAAAATAAAATATTAAGTAAATAAGTTTCTTAATTAAAATTGTTAATACATTTAGCTAAATTTAAGTGTAAACGAGTGCTTTTGTTAGGAAAAAAGCATAAATCGAAAAAAGCTACAAACTATAAATATTAAGTACTAAATAGAAATTTTGTTGCCAGTTTTGCCTATTTAAACTATGTTAAAATTTTGAAATGTTTATCCGAAACTAACTCAACTGATATGAATATACAATGTAACTAATGAAATGAGAAAGTATATAAAAATGCATTTATGTAATAATCGATATACATATATATAATATTAACTACATGCATACATACATATAAATATATACATATATATATATATATAATTGCTATTATTATAATAAATAAAATTTATTACAAAACTTACAAGTGCATAAAAACGTATAAAAAAGAGTAAATAAATTAAATATACATAAAGTATATGCAAGCAAATCGGTGTAAATGTATGTGTGTGTGTAAGGAGGAAAAAATAGCAGAATTTTCGAAGTAATGATAAAAAATTTAATTTGCCTAAAAATTATAAATTTTAAAAATTTATTTTAAAATTTCAACCCCAACCTTTCCAAATAGAGAAACACAAAAAATCACCAAAGCTTTGAGTGATATATTTTTTCACTATTATTATTATTTTTTTTTTGTTTTTGTAATTTTAATGATACAAAATTTTCACAATTGTGTAAAGAGGAAAGAATATCAAAATTTTGAAAATAGTGAGAAAAAAATTTAAGAATTTTCAAACTTTACTTTGGCAGAAAAATTATAAATTTAAAAGATGTTCAAATTTGTATTTTAAAAAATCAAG